AGTATACAGTTGGAATGGGTTTTAGGAATGAAATGAGTTATACTGGTTAAGTTCCCCTCCACTCGAAAGCTTGTTTTTCTTGTTCAGTTGGATGTTTGATGTTCACAGTGCTGAATGCAGTCTGTGCAGAGTTTAACTCTAAAAGGATGTTTTCACATTCATCTGCTGAAAGTGGAAAGTTTCTCTGTGCTCACTGACTCCAGGATACAACTTAAAACTGTGATGTAGAAACTTGAAGCCACAAGTGCACATCCACTGAGAATAGACATTTCAAATAAGGTAGAAGGAGTAGATGACTTTGAGGTCTTTAATGTGGAATTTTTTTTTTTTAATTTTTTTTTTTTTTGGGGGGGGGGTATAAAAATATCAATATAAACTGCTATTTGTATATGTTATAATACAAATACCACATGCATGTATACTTTATTTGAATCTAATTTGTATTATTATTACATTATTATAATAAATTGTTATAATGGACTGTATGGTATCATGATGACTACGATTGTAAAATCCATACATATAATTGTAAATATCCCACCTGTCTGTCATAGATGTATACTCTGTCTCATCGTCGTCATCATCGTCGCTAACGCCCCTCAGTGGAGGCCGCTGATTGGTCGGCACTGTAGCCCCCCTCCTCCTCCCGTCCTGCCGAGCAAACAGTTTCTCAACAGCGGCTTTATCTTATCATTTACCGGGGGTCTGGGCCGGCAGGGACGCTATGTAACCCGGTTAAATTGACGTCACAGGTTCGGGAGAAACGGTGGTTGTGTTTTGCGGTCACATTTTGAAGGTGTGTAAAGCGAAAGCCTGCCCCTTCCCCCGCCTGCAGGCTAACGGCAGGAAGGCAGAGAGCAGCAGTCAGTCGTTGGTGTTGTTTTGAACGAGCTCCGCGCTGAGAGACAACTTCTGTGGAGTTTAAAACACTGAGCTAACTTCACCGTCAGCTTCACATTAAACAGCGCGACGAACGACGCTACAGGACGGTACAGCGCTCCTTGTAGCCGCCCGCTGTGAGGCTGGTAACGTTAGCTTCATCAATATGGTGACTTTATCATCCGCAATAAGACCTCTGGCTTCCCAGCTTCACCGACAGCTCGTCAGACACGCCAGGAGTCACCGGATAACGCCTGTCAGGAGATGCAACCTCACGGCGTGCTCCAGCAAATATGTGCTGTCTCAGAGTAAGTACTTGTGCAAAGCGTGTGTGACAACGTTAGTACACAATGGTTGTCGTCCATCCAGCGGGTCCACACAGCTGCTCATTACCGCACAGCTTCAAAGGGAGAGCAGTTTCATGTCGGACATTACCGCCAACAGTGGCAGTGGGTGTCTCTGCATGTCACTGGTTTTGGTTTGTGGTCTCATTGTGGCTCTAAGGCCTTTCATTGTGGGTCACACAGCATCAGTTAATGGTCACTTTTGTTGTCATTGAGAAGCGTGCATCAGGAGCAGTGGAAAGCTCGGACTGGACTTTGCTCATCACTGGATCTGAATCAACACTGCTCTGTTGACTCAGCTGTGTTTGAGAGGGGCCCCGGGCTCCAGGGTTTCCAAACAGGTATCGATATCCCTGATCGCTGCCCCATATAGGGGCCATTTGAAGCCCTTTGACCTAGATAGGAGCCTGTATGTTGAGTCACCAGGTCCGTTGTTTTCAAATGTAGAGCCACAGTACTACCACTGTGTCCTTATTGTTATCCACATGTTTCTGGCTGCAGTTCATGTGATAGACAATGCATCAAATGTTAAAATTCTAAAATCCCAATAGTGTATGTATAGGATGCACTATCCACTATACTGTACCTACATGAAGAACGTCTACTTCCTTTGCGTGTTCGACCTCTGCTATGAGATGTTCGGGGCACCCCAGCTCCTCTGACAGGTTCCAACAACTTCCTCCCCACACCCAGTAACATGAGCCTCGCCTTGTTCACCATCTCACGCAAACTACAACCACAGAACCAACATGCACAAAAACACTGGAAATAGCCCAGTGCAGTTAAGCTTTTATGCTCAAGCGTTATAATAAACTGAGTTCATATTTAACTTTAACAAGCCTGTTGTACTGGGCACTGTCTGTCCAACGTTTTATGACGGGGCTTTCGGTTTGGCTTTGATGTGGTTCTCTAGAAATTAGGTTTCATGCCAGTGCAATAGGCTGCCCTCTGATGCTCTGGTGCTATTTTTCTTCAAAAACAGCAATTTGTGCTATTCCCACTCCTCAGGTAAAAAAAAAACCACACCAGACTCACAGGAAAGTGATGCAATCTGTGCTTCCTTAAAGAAGTAAGCAGTGTAAAATTGAAAGTTACGTTTCCTATGTTGAACCTCTCAGGCACAACTTCAGAGAGGGCACAAATCAGAACTCTTAAGTGCTGCCTGAGAACTGTCACTCTGAGAGGAAAACCCTTAACTTAGTGGCTGCCTTCAGGAGGAGCATTTTATATTATTATAACACATCAGCCTTATCATCATATTAGGTTTGCAAATGTATCTAAATGGAAGAATAAACCTCTACTCACCATATTAAACACTGCTGACACTTTCAGTCCCAGACCGGAAACTGTGTTTGAGTGCTACTTCCAGTTATTTACCTCTCAAACTCTCTTATTAGCTTCAAATGTGGATGTATTGCATGTATTATAAAATTGTTACACATGCATTTGTAGAATTTTGGCAACAGTGTCATAACCAATAAATAAGATCAATCATCAATAAAGGAAAACAACAATTTACTCAAGGTAAGGTTTCACTCAAGTGAAAGTATACCACTGACCTTTCTGACTTCATGGGGTCAAAGTTCAACTACATTTGACCCCAACTCCTAGAATGTGAATAGTTCACTAAAGTATCATAACTAATAACATAATTCAATTAAGCCTTTACAGCCTTATTTTCTCTTACCGTAGGAGGAATCGGACACAACCATCAACAGTATCTATTGGTCAGTCCTTCCAGAAAAAGCAGAGTTGTTTTGTGATTGTTGCGGGCAAAAATCCTTGATTTATGCGGCATGTTTGTAAAAAATGCGATGATAATTGCGGGAACTTGCAAAAACTGCGGGTTTGATCGAAAAAGAGGGGACAAAAAGGGATTTTCCCCAACACCCTGTTCACAGGCAATACCTTTAAATGTACAAGAGTCCATTTCTTATTACCTTCTGTTGAATAAACATACTAACTAGTCACTAGAAAAGGTGCTGAAATATTAATTCTCAATCCTTTGTTGTATTTCAGACCCTAATAAACACCATGCTCAAAACCTTACAAAACAAACTGATGAATCTAAACAAGTTCTGTGAGCTTTACAAAAGGAAAATGCTTACAACTTCTGTAAAAATGAAATAAATAAAATATAAAAAAAGAAAAAATGTGTGCTTCCTGTTTTACAAGAGATAAAGCCTAATACAAAACACACATCTTCTGTTAAAATAAGTTGCTTCAATGCACAAAGTGCAATCCTCTTACTGTAACGTAAATCTACATACTAATGAATATGACTGGTACCAACTGTAAGGTTTTCAAATCGCAGGGTTTGCAGCTTTTCGATGGATGTTCACGTCTCGTAATTACGTCAACTTCATTTACACCTGGTTCCCAATGGCAAACAGGGAAAATGGCGCTCTTGAGTGAAGTAAACGCAAAACATTTTCAACTTTCTGCTCAGATATATGTGACTTTTGCATACAAAAATGCAGGGAGTTAATGAAGAACATGCAAGCCCCGCATATATTGCGCGGAAATTTATGCAGCGTATTTGAAAAATAATTTGGCCCCGCATAAATTATGCAGACTTTGGCTGATTATGCATTGAATTATGCGATCGCATAATCGCGTTTTTCTGGAGGGACTGATTGGTAGTCAGAGCTTCTGGGTGTGAAAAGTGAAGCAAATGTATTCTTTATAATGGCCAGCGGGGGCGACGGGACTGGCTCCAAAAAGAAGTCTGATTGTCTTTAACCTAAGAGCAAAGTGACCCTGAATAATTACCATTATAGTAAAATCAATGATAAAGCAGGGTATGCTTTAGGGCGGGGCTACCTTGTGATTGACATTTCATTCTCAGTGAGTCTGTCCAGCTCAACACTCATCAAATATGAATCAAGATTCTGTTTCTGCGCTGCCTATTTGGTCGTGTACTGTTTATCTGTGTGTGACCAGGGAGGCCACCATT